TGCCACCATGCCCAGCTAATTTTTATATTATTAGTAGAGATGGGGTTTCAACACGTTGGGCAGGCTGCTCCTGAACTCCTGACCTCAGGTGATCCACCCACCTCGGCCTACCAAAGTGCTGGGTTTACAGGCATGAGCCACCGCACCAGGCCATGATTTGTATTTAAGAGATGGGGTCTCTGTTGCCCAGGCTGGAGTGCAGTGGTGTAATCTTAGCTCACCGCAGTCTAGAACTTCTGGGCTCAAGCAATCCTCCTGCTTCAGCTTCCTGAGTAGCTGAGACTATAGGTATGTGCCACTATGCCCAGATAATTTTTTAATTTTTTGAAGAGACAGGGTTTCACCATCTTGCCCAGGCAGGTCTTGAACTCCTGGGCTCCAGCCTCAGCTTCCCAAAATGCTGGGATTACAGGCATGAGTCATGCTGTCCAGCCCTCTGTGATTTTTGTCCTCATTTCTCTTTATGTTGCTTAGGGCTGGGTAGCTTTATGGCAACTCTGGGCTGGTAGAAAGAGTGGCTGATAAATTCCTGATCCTTTCTGCAAGGGTGTATGTACACTGCAGGGATGGGCACGGGGCCACAGATCCCACAGGATCCTGGATTTTGGCCTCCAAGTGTAGCCAAGGCCACGATCTAAGCCAGTTGGAATCTGGGGAAGCCCTGACTGGCTGGGGCATTGTTGAATGCCTAGTTTCTAAATGTTTCCTAATTACACCTTCCTGTTTCTTGTTTTCTTCCCTACAGATCGTGAAAATCAGTCTATGCTAATCACGTAAGTGTCTCTTCCATCTCTCAGTCTATACACATATAATTAGATCTGTGTCTTACACATATAATCAAGCCTTCCTAGAATTAATTGTGGGACTTTGTTTGGAACTCTGCAGGCAGTGAGTGGGCTTAGCAGGGCGGGTGAGGCTGCACCTGCTAAACTGATGGAGTGGCCTCCCTGTCTCCTGGACCTCCCCACCTGCCTGTCTGTCCTAGCTAGGGGGTGAAATGTGAACAGAAATGTGTACCTTTGAGGCCAGGTGTGGTGGCTCACACCTGTAATCCCAGGGTTTTGGGAGGCTGAGGCAGGAGGATCGTTTGAACCCATGAGTTTGAGACCACCCTGGGCAACATAGTGAGACCCCATCTCTACAAAAAATTAGCCAGTGTGGTGGTGCACACCTGTAGTCCCAGCTACTCAGGAGGCTGAGACAGGAGGATTGCTTGAGCTCAGGAGGTTGAGGCTGCAGTGAGCTATGATCACACCACTGCACTCCACAGACGACAGAGCAAGACTCTCTCAAAAAAAAAAAAAAGAGAGAGAGAGAGAAAGAAAAGAAAAGAGCACTTTTCCTTTCTTTGAGATGGAATCTCACTCTATGGTCTAGGTTGGAGTGCAGTGGCACTATCTCGGCTCACTGCAAGCTCCGCCTCCTGGGTTCAAGCGATTCTCCTGCCTCAGCCTCCCAAGTAGCTGGGATTACAGGCACGTGCCACCATGTCTGGCTAATTTTTGTATTTTTAATAGAGACGGGGCTTCACCATGCTGGCCAGGCTGGTCTCGAACTCCTAACCTCAGGTGATCCTCCCACCTCGGCCTCCTGAAGTGCTAGAATTATAGGCATGAGCCTCTGTGCCTGGTTAACTTTTGTATTTTTAGTAGAGATGGGGTCTCACCTTGTTGGCCAGGCTGATCTTGCTTCTTTTCTCTGCGGCTGACCGCCCCCTCTTCCCGCTTCTCTTGTCCGCTCTTTTTTTCCACCTGCAGCGGAGAATCTGGTGCTGGTAAGACTGAGAACACGAAGAAGGTCATCCAGTACTTTGCCAACATCGGAGGAACTGGCAAACAGACCACAGATAAGAAGGTAGAGCTGACTGGGTGGGCTCAGGGTCTATTTTCCGCCACACAGTGGCGACCCTTCAATCTTTACAGCTGCTCACAGCTTAGGGCCATTTTACAGATGAGGAGACTGAGGCTTAGAGCGAAGTGACTTGGATGGGGTCACACAGGGAGAAGGTGGCCATAAATCAGGGTCTTCTCCCCGAGGACTTGTTCTGCTGCCCCAGGCCATGTCTGCGTCCAGAGGGACAGGTAGCAGAGCCCCTTGTACTTGGCAGAGGAGAAACGGGAAAGTTCGCTGCCTGTTAAGTGGCTTCTGCAGGCCCTGGCTGCCCCAGGGGCACAAAGAGCCTTAGGTGGGCAGCCAGCTAAGGCAACTGTAAAAGGCCGACAGAGGCCAGTCACAGTGGCTCATGCCTATAATCCCAGTACTCTGGGAGGCTGAGGTGGGAGGTCACTTGAGTCCAGGAGTTAGAGACCAACCTGGGCAACATAGCAAGACACCATCTCCACAAAAAACTTTAAAAATTAGCTGGGAGTGGTGGCATGTACCTATAGTCCCAGCTACTCAGGAGGCTGAAGTGGGAGGATCACTTAAGACCAGGAGCTGGAGGCTGCAGTGAGCCAAGATAGCGCCACTGCACTCCAGCCTGGGCAACAGAGCAAAACCCTGTGTCAAAAAAGGGGCGGGGGGATGTGTAGGGAGGGGTTTCAGACTTGCTCAGAGGGCTCTCTGCCAACAGCAGAGTGAGGAAACAGTAGCTAGGGATCAAGTCCAAGTGGCTGCCCATGTCCCCAGGTGCCTGTCCCAGTGTCATGGAGCCACAGAGGGACAGACGCTGTCAGGCAGGGGCCCTCCTCTCAGGTTACTACATGCAGCCCCTCTGGCCCTGATTTTCTGGCCACCCCAAGGCCATTCTCCTCCTGGGTTCCCAGCACATGAGCCACTGTCATTTGCAAGCCCAGTCCCTCAGCCCTGGCCTCCCAGGCAGCGGCCAACTAACTTTGGGTTTCTTTCTGCGTCAGGGGTCTCTGGAGGATCAGATCATCCAGGCAAACCCCGTGCTGGAGGCCTTCGGGAACGCCAAGACCACCAGGAACAACAACTCCTCTCGCTTCGTAAGTGTGGGGGCTGCATGAGAGGCCCCCCGGGTGGTGAGACAGGTGTCACAACCCCGCCCCAGGTAAAGAAATTGAGGCTGGTTTAAATTAAGGTCAAAGGGGTGGGGCAAGTGAAGACATCCCCTTCCCAGAGATGTTTAAGGCACAGCAATCAGAATCAAATTGGCAACGAGGCAAAACTAATTCAAAAGACAAATAATCCCTCGTGGAATTCAGTGCAAGATTTGAAGACTCTTCCTAACCGGTCCAATCAGCCTCAACACCGAGAACTACAAATTGCAAATTTAACAGGTCATTTTGTATCAAAACATCAATTATGAAGCACGTAGAATTTTTCAATGGTATGAAAACATTCTCTGGGTTCTGCAGAGACCCGGACAGGGTTAACTTTTTTTTGTTTTGATTTTTTTTGCCCCTCAGAAATTGGTTTTCTTTGATGTATCCAAGTCTTACATTTCTCAACAAAGAAAAAAACAAAATCTCTATTAGCATAAAAGAAGGAGGCTGGGCACAGTGGCACACTCCTGTAATCCCAGCACTTTGGGAAGCCAAGGCAGGAGGATCCCTTGAGCCCAGGCAGAGTTGCCAGGCCAGCCTCGGCAACATAGCAAGACCAGCCCCCATCTCTATAAAAAATAAAAATTAGCCAGGCATGGCCATGCATGCCTGTAGTCCCAGCTACTTGGGAGGCTAAGGTGGGAGGATCACCTGAGCCCAGGAAGTCGAGGTTGCAGTGAGCTAAGATTATGCCACTGCATTCCAGCCTGGGCAACAGAGCAAGACCATGTCTTGGGGGGTGGGGGGTGGGGGGTAAAAAGTATCTAATCAGCAAACAGAACCCTCTTTAGTATTAATATTTAAGTCAAGTGGCTTTGATGCAGAACCTTGGCGACAATAAGGGTGGAGGCGCTGGGAGGTCACCTGGGGAGACAGATTAACAGCAGCAAGAAGCTGCAACCTCCTTCCACGCTGGAGGGACATAAGACAGGTGCTGTCCTAGAGTCCTAGTGGGTTCTTAAACCAGTGCAGCTATCTGGTGGGAGCTGCAGTCACAGAGGCACCCTGAGACGCCAACTAGAGAGGAGCGATGCCCTGTCCTCGTCTCCCTCACTCCCGCGTCTCCTCTGGGGCTTCCCATTGGCAGAGCGCAGTGAGCTTGCACGAAGCCTGGGAAAACAGGGCTGGCAGGGGGTGAGGGGAGGAACAGAGGTGAGTGCAGACAGGCCCAGGAGCAGCCGAGGTAGAGAGAGAGAATCCTGTTTCCGGGAGAATTTACTGATGGCTCTGCCATGCAAGCCAGAGCGAGGAATGACACGGAAGTCTCCCCATAAAGAAGCATGGGAGGTGCTCCAAATTCGCATGGTGCCTGGTCTCTACACAGAATTCCAAAGGGTAGCAGCCCTCCTGCTGGCACTTCTCTCCCTGACAAATGCCCCAAACCACAGACCCTAGATTTAGCTCCGAGACCTGTCCGTGTGCTTCTCTGCCTATCTTCGTGGGAAATCCACTACTGCAATAGAGCCCAGTTACATCCCCGCAGGCCCCAATCAGCAACCCTTGGCCAACTCTGGGCCACTTATTGCTCTAAAGCTATGGCCGACCTCCCTCCTGATCCCTCCCCTCTCTTCCCTGCTCAGGGCAAGTTCATCCGAATCCACTTCGGAACCACAGGGAAACTGGCTGGAGCCGACATCGAGAGCTGTAAGTCAGGCCCTCCTTGGAGGGTTTGTCTGGGCAGCTACATGATCTGTGAGGCCCAGTGCAACATGAAAATGAAGGGCTCTTGTTAAAAAATACCAAGAATTTCAGGCCAGGCGAGGTGGCTTATGCCTGTAATCCTAGCACTTTGGGAGGCCGAGGCGGGAGGGTTGCTTGAACCTAGGAGTTCAAGACCAGCTGGGCAACATAGTAAGATCCCATCTCTACAAAACAATGTGAAAAATTAGCCTGGCATGGTGGTACATGCTTGTAGTCCCAGCTACTCAGGAGGCTAAGGCAAGTGGATCGCTTGAGCCCAGGAGTTAGAGGCTGCAGTGAACAGTCACCAGTGGTGACTGTTCTGGGCTTTAAGGAGAGGGGATTCCTGCTTTGAATCTGGGAGGCAGAGGTTGCAGTGAGCCGAGACCACTCCATTGCACTCCAGCCTGGGCAACAGAGCAAGACTCCATCTCAAAATAAATAAATAAATAATCACACCATTGCACTCCAGCCTGGGCAACGCAGCAAGACCTTGTCTCTAAAAATCGTAATAATAATACAGGAATTTCGAAACAGCAACAGAGGAGCATTAAACCAAGTGGGAGGTCCTTCTGATTGCAGCCTGTTAGTGCCCAGGAGGCTGGCCCCATTCCCAGGACTCCCTCCGTGACAGTCAGGTCCCTGGAGGCTGCCTGTCTGGGAAGAGCGAAACGTGGGGCTCACCACCACTGGTGTCTGTTTTGGGCTTTATGGAGAGGGGATTCCTGCTTTGTACGGAGCCCTGAACTCCAGGGGAACAGCTGTGTACTCACCAGGATCTTCACTTCTTTTTCAGATCTCTTAGAGAAATCTCGTGTCATCTCACAGCAAGCAGCCGAGAGAAGCTACCACATCTTCTACCAGATTCTCTCAAACAAGAAGCCTGAACTTGTTGGTAAAGACCTTTATGTCTATCCACCTGCCCCTGACCTTGCTTTTCTTCTTTTCCATAAGGAAAGATTTCCCATGTGTAGGGAGTCTCGTGTCACTCCTGGGGTTCTGTGATAATGTCTTCAGTTTAAAGTGATGTGAATGGGGCTGGGCGTGGTGGCTCATGC